AAAAAAAATATTAAATGATAATCTGTTACAGTCGTCTAACAAAGTATAGATAAAAATATAACGTTGTTAAGGTGTCAAATTTTCTGCAGTTTTCTTTTCAGAGGGTTATTCAGAGAATGCCAGTCTAATTTGACTATTTCTTTGTGATCAATGAATTATTTTTAGACTGTTTATGAGTCAACAGTTCTTGCTGAGTATCTAGATGAACTCTTCCCAGAGTCGTCAATTCTTCCAAAAGATCCGTATTTGAAAGCACATCAGAAGATTCTTGTTGAACGGCTATCACCTGTAAGATTCTGTTCAATTTTACAAGAAAAAGTGAAGAGGCAACGAAAACCTCTAGTAATCAACCCCGTTTTATTTTGCATTTAGCAGGATTTCAGTGATCTGTTAACTGTCTTGTAGACCATTTTGACATCGGACTTACAGACTGGGTTATTCGCTTTTGTAAATAGACTGTCATTTTAACAGCAATTGTCAAACACTTGACAAATTTCCGGTACCTTTTTTTTCTTTATTACAGTTGATTTCTGCAATGTATCAATTTATGAGCTCAACGAATCCTCAACAAATGCAAGAAACAGATAATTCGTTGCATGCAGCTTTACGTAATGCTGAATCACTTTTGACAGACAACTTTTATGGAGGTATGCATCGTTTAGAAAAATGCCAGAGTAACGCTTCTTCCTTGTACTTGAAGTTTTACTATCAAGCAATCCTTGGCATTAGTGTGAGGATTCTGCTTTGAGTTATAAAACTTAAGACGTTGCTGTTAATAGCTTTTTAAGAAGAAGCAAAAGCTCTCATAACCGGTTTGTCTTTAGGCCGTGTTATTGGATTTGCTGATATTATGCTTTGGCCATTCCTGGAACGTCTAGAACTTATAACCATGAATCCGTATACTCAATTTCGGTAAGAACATAATATTCTGTGTATTATTTAGTCACTAAGTCATCTTTTCTGTACAGTGAGATTAAAAGATGTTACTTCCTCCGCTTTTAACAGCAGCTTTCTTTCAGATATTTCCCGGGTATGCATTATCCAAAGATGGGTGCATATATTGCCAGAATGCAGAGGCAGCCTGAGGTTCGCCCTTAATTTCAATTTTCAATTTTTTACATTAACTGTTGGTCTAATGCAAAAAATATTAAGTAACTTACTATCTTAGTTGCTTTCCTGTTTAAATTGATTTTTTAAAATTATAACTGTTACAAGTGCAAGAAATTAAAAAAATTATGGCATTTATAGATGCATTAGCTCTTATTGACTAAATATCTTTTATCATCTAGCAGTATTTTTTAAAAACTGCGATAAAATTCTTGGTTTAATAACCTGATAATTCTCCATTTGATCAACGATTTTTCAGGTGAAATATGCTATGAGACCTTTGTCTCATCATGCTGCATATATAGAAAGTTTTATGAAAGGAAATCCTAATTACGATTATGGAAGTTTCCGACCATATAAAAACTA